CATCATAACGAGTTTTCGTAATTTTCGCATAATTACATGCTCGATTGAACCACGTGACTTCTCCCTTTACATCCATCTATTTACTGAAAATATCAGATTGTAGTCGGTGTTTTCCTACTCCTATCTCATGGTTGAACAAAGCTATTATGCAGGTCCATTCATCACCAGCCAGACAATGCACGGGAGCCAGTGGTGTTACGCCCTCCTTAACACTAAGCCAACATCGTGTTATAATCAACAACTCGTTTGTTATCCGTGGTCGTGGAGAATTGGAACCAGGTAGTGCATGTGAAGAAGTTGCTACATTCGATGACATTTCTGAATATGGGTGTTCGTTTCGTATAAATGGTATGGTGTTTGTTTCGTATAGATTACACGTCTATTTATAATAATCATAAAAAGGAGAGTTGACATGGAATTGACAAGTGTAGTGGAATCTTTGTGTATTACAGTGACTTATCATGTCAAATAGTCATTTATGTGTTGTCATTTCGATGTTTGACTATGATTTTCAGGTGCTACAGTGACTTGTTATTTATGTATAGTCATTTCAAAGTTTAACTATGAATTCCAACTCTGACTATGAAATTGTTGAATTTGGACTATGATTTATAGATTACTAGGATGTATAAATACGAGATATAACACCATTTTCTTATTAAAAAATACTATATATAATCTCGACTTTATTATGAATTCGTTCCCAAAGTTCAAAATTTGCTCATGCAACGAAGTAGATTGTTACTATTGTGATCCATTTGAACCCTTTTTTTACACCATCTTCAGCAGGCCCATATACGTCGAATGAAAATTTTAAAAATAATTGAAAAAGGATGAAGAACAACAAAAACAGGATAAAGAGGCATCCCGACTTCTCAGTCAATGTCGCAAAGTTGTTGCATCAAAATGCAAACAAGCTCAAGAATGGATAGGCCTCAATAAAAAGAAAATCAAAGAGCATGAAGAACGGATAAAAAAGACTAGGAAGACAATCAAAATGACTGAAAAATGGCTTGCTAACAAGGACGCAGAGATGATACATCTTAGGGTGCAAAAGGATCGTTTGGAAGATAAAATGAGAGTTAGAGATGAGTATATATCAATCGAGAAAGAGAAGTACTCATTACAGTTCCCTGAGTTTAATAATTAGTTAAAAAATTATTGTAACATTATAATGACTTGGCTTTTCTATTTATTTTAGATTAACATGTTTGTTTACCGTTAATTTTCCAAGTATAAAAGCATAAAAAAAAAGCATGTTACAATATAAAACCTTAATTCGTTGTTATAATGTTCAGACTAAATTAAAATATAAAAGCATAACAATATCTTAGAAAATTTAATAAAAACATTACATTACACAATAAATTAACAACTATTCAATTTAAGGTTGTTTTATATCAAAATCAGCGTGATAGGATTGGGAGCAACTCGCAAAAACTCCAATATTAAATGTCGTTTCCGTAGTAGGAATTCTCGTGCGACATGCTCCACTACCAGACACCCTCCTTCCAAAACAATTGTTTCTTGTGTTTCCTGCTTGACTGCATGTAGAACACTCTTTTCTAATTAGACCCTCGCCTTGGGATGGAATGCGGTATGTATTTCTTGGCCTGCGTGGTTGGCGTTTATCCATTATAGGTGGCTTAACAATTATCAAATCATCGGGGATCTCCCATTCCGATGGCTTTGGCAAAGGGTTTACTAATTCCTCATATGTTTTCCTCAATGTTTCCGTATGGTAAGCATTTAATGCAAACATTGAGTTGTCTTGGTAATTGTTGACTGTTAGCACTCTTATGACATGACCACAAGGTACGTCGTCAAGTTGTCAATGCCTACATGTACATGTCTTTTGTTGGAAATCAAAAATCATGTTTTGTGCCCCCTTTTTGACCTCGCATTTGTTATGTGAGATCATGCGGACATTCCAATTACTAAAAGAATGATGGAATCGTCCATTACGACACATAAGAAAAATAAATAAAAAATTGTTTGTAAGAAAAGAAACGTCACAATATTTTCTTTCACATGTCAAAGTGATGGAAAAAAAGAATATCTTTTACATATCCTCCCAGACTTTCTTTATAAATTTTTCTAATTTATGAATAAAATATGATTAGGATAAAGTACAATATTATAAAGATAATTATAAAGATAATAAAGGCTTTGTTACGTCTCCACATCAAAGTATTTTTATTTTCTTTTGCAATATCATCGGCCCAAGGGGTGAGTGTTGTTGTTGCTTCCGCTTAAAAAATAAACAAAATTACACAGTTAACATCAATAACATTTAATAAAAACATTAATATTAAAACTTAGTACCTGAAAAGTTCCGTCTTTGAAACCACCAGTATTGCATTGTTGCACGAAAAAAGTCGATCAACTTCAGTATCGGCACCTTACGTACATGTCTAGATAATGCATATACCGACTCCGTATTGTTGGACGACATAAGATTGTATCTGCTCCTTCTAAAAATGTGTCCTAGACTAAGTGTCAGGATTTCTACTTTTTAAGTATTCCCATACTGGTTCTTTTTCCTTTTTCATAAGGTCCATGGCAACATCAAAACCATCAACTGTATACGCTCTACAGGCCTCCCAAAAAAATTCCTTTAACTGTCTTACTCTTCCCGTATCTAACTACTATGTTGAAATACAAGTGAACACTACATATTCCGTGATGAGCATGAGAAAAATGTTGGCAATAGATGTCGCTATAGATAGATACCTATCAGATATAATTGTAAGCTCCTCCATATTGCCTATGTAATCACATAGTTTTTGAAAAAACCATGTCCAAGAATCTGTACACTCATTTTTGCATATACCATATGCAACCGGTAATATTTGGTTTTGTTCGTCTTTAGTAACTGCAAGTAACATGGTACCTTTGAACTCACCCTTTAGGTGGGCTTCATTTATTACAAGGGTCGGCTTACAAAAATTTACAAAAACGCGTACCTACAATACATTGTATATCTATTCAAATACACCAAAATAAAAAATATAATAATACTAACCGACCAACCAAGTGCGACGTACAAGAACTCAAACCGATCATCACCATCTGTTTGAATATGTGTCACGGTACTTGGATTATGTTTGACCAAATTGTGGAAATAAGCCGGAAAAAATCCTCTTTCGTACCCCTTAACAACAACAGTGCATATTGTTTCGCACGCCAAGCCTGATGGTATGAGATATTGATTTTCAATTGAACATTCACATCATTAATAATATGCTGTCCTCGATATACTCTACTATAATCTTTAGCCAAAACATCAGCAAGATATTCACCCGAAACATATTTGTTTGCTTGTCGATGATTAGGTTGCGAAATTGTTGAAGAACATGTGTGTACGTCAACAAATTTTTTCCCTTGGAAAAGTCCACCATAATTTTTAATTCCATTTGCTCTTAGTAACTAAGAACATTTTTTTCTCAACACACACAACCTCATACATTGATTTGGTCGATCTACTTGTCCCTGTCTAAAAACCTTCTCGGAGACATTTTTTCCCAATCGCCCATTTTAGAAGGTCTTTGTTCTTAAATATACTGAGACATTCAATCTTTTGAACATTGATATCTACCATCTCCGTTGGGATATCTTCATTAACATCAACTCGACATGCTGGTACAGGGGGCATACCTTAAAAAAAAGTTATCAGGAAACTTAGCTTTAACTTCATCACTCGACTCATCTTCATTAGAATTGCTTTCTAAGTCGGTTATATCTAAAGCAACATCAGCAACGTCAACGTAATCCCCGTAACTATGTACATTTTCATCTTTCTGAATCATAACTTTTCTCTTTTTACTTTTATCTAATACACGCCTATTCTTAACTTTAACTTCTTGATCGGGAACATCGACACATCGACCACCCACGTCATTAGGATATGTACCAACATCATGATCACCAACATACTTGTAATTCTTAGGATCCACATAGTGAATAGGTGAATACCTCACATTAACATTTTTAACAACTCTATGAAATTGAGGTACACTAGGACTCATGAAAGTACCTATTGGATTGTTGCTCCCTTTAGCGCTGCATAAATTACCAACCGACTCATTTCCACTCTCACCACCCTCTGTAACTACATCACCTTCATCAGCCACCACAAACACTTTCACAATCCTTTCTCCACTCGATTTGATTACATTAATCAACATTCTAACATTCATATCTTCAATCATGGCTATATAATGATTCAATTTAGGATGATGGAAATGAAGACTAATTGTATATTTGTCTAACAAACTGGTTTTCATTCTCACCAAAAATACAAACTCATTATAACTAATATACTCAGAAAATATTAAAACAAATTTAGAAATACCTCCCTGTGAACATACATATTCAAGATTTGTTTCAAAAACTTTCCACCTCTTACTAGTTACAACGCAAACCAAATATTTATTCATTTTTTAGAGATGATTTAAACAAAATTTCCAAAGAAATAACAATTGATAGTTTTTTGAAATTTTTTATATATAATAAGCTTGTTTCGTAATCAAACTCTATCAATTTCATAGTTAAAGTAAAAAAAACAAAAAAAATCACGAAATCACAAATGAAATTGAGAGGAATACAGCAAAAAAAAAAACACTTGTGAACGTAAAAGTGGCTAAAGCATTACGCTCGCAGATGAGTTTAATCCATCTGTGATTTTGGTGGCTACCAATGCAATTTTAGTTTTTTTTTTTTACTATTTTTTCAAATTAGTTAGGATTTTTGGTTAAATTTGTAATTTTCTTTGAAATTTATATGGTTAAAAAGTTGTTAATGCGATAGGGCTGTTTTAGAAAATGTTTAAAACTGAAGGGGCTAATTGTGATTTAGCCAAACTGATTCACCGGTCTTTCCCCCCATTGTAACAGGATCCTCTTTAGTTCACTGATCAGCAATTCCATAATCAGAAAACCCAACTCCAATTCCTCACATTTTCAGTGAATGATCATGCCAAATCGATTGATTCATAAAAAATGACAGAGTTTTTGGATTTGGAAACCCAAGACGCCGTGCGAATGCCATGGAACGTACTCCCCGGTACAAAACATGAGGCCGCTCAATGCATCATCCCCATTTCCGCCATCTACACGCCGCTGAAACCATTACCCAAAACCACTCCTCTCCTCCCTTACTCCCCTCTACGTTGCCGGAATTGCCGATCTGTCCTCAACCCATTCTCAATCGTCGATTTCTCCACCAAAATATGGATCTGCTCCTTCTGCCTCCACCGCAACCACTTCCCCCACCACTACCAATCAATCACCGAGGACAATCTCCCAGCCGAACTCTTCCCTCAGTACACCACAATCGAATACGAACTCCAGAATGAAAAACCCTCTCCCCCGGTTACCTCTCAGGTGTTTTTATTTGTGGTGGATACTTGTATCATCGAGGAGGAAATTGGGTTCCTGAGATCGGGGCTTTCACGGGCGATTGGGCAGATTCCGGGTAATTCACTTGTGGGTTTGATTACTTTCGGAAGGTATGTTTGTGTTCATGAGTTGGGATTTTTTGGGAAAATCCCTAAGGTTTATGTGTTTAATGGAAGTAAGGAGATCAGTAAAGATCAGGTTTTAGAGCAGATGGGTTTCTTTCAGAAGAAAGCAAGACCAGCTACAGTCGGTGGTCCTGGAACTAGAGATGGACATTTGCAGGATAATGTTTCAAGGTTCTTATTACCAGCTTCAGAGTGCGAATTTGCTATCAATTCGGTATATATCTGTTCTTGATGTTCGTTTGTCACCAATTTTGATTACTTAGCATTTGAAATGAGTTTCGATTGATAAATTTGAAGTTGATATGTATGTTATCAGGTATTGGATGAGCTTCAGAAAGATTCATGGCCAGTTCCTGGAGATCAAAGGGCAGCAAGATGCACTGGAACTGCATTGACTGTGGCTGCTCATCTACTGGGAGCTTGTGTTCCTGTTTGTGGTGCTAGAATTATGGCCTTTTTGGGTGGGCCCTCATCCGAAGGGCCTGGATGTGTGAGTTTTCTAGTCTTTAAATGCAAGAAACAGAAACCTACTTCTACTTCCATTGATTTGTTTATTATAGCATCCTACTTTCATTTCTTTCTATTACTTACCATAATACTCATTAACATTATTTTTGTTAATGTGTTTTACATGTTGGATTCTAAAATCTTATTTTTATTGTATTCCAATCTTCAGATAGTTTCAAAAAGTTTGTCTGAACCTATTCGATCTCACAAGGATCTAGATAAAGATTCTGCTCCTTTCTATCATAAAGCAGTGAAGTTATATGAAGGACTCTCAAAGCAACTCGTGCATCAAGGTCATGTACTTGATGTCTTTGCTTGTGCTCTTGATCAGGTAAAGATTCATTTTTATACCAATATAGGCAATGTACTTTATTTGTTATATATCACTATTATGTGTTAAAAAATGTATGTTGCTATTTTGTATAAGAAAATGTAAATATATTGCTTCTAGGTAGGGGTAGCTGAGCTTAAAATTGCAGTTGAAAGAACTGGAGGACTTGTTGTGTTAGCAGAAAGCTTTGGGCATTCGGTTTTTAAAGATTCTTTAGTTCGTGTTTTTCAGTCTACAGATAATGATCTTGGTCTATCCTCAAAGTAAGGCTTTTTCTTTCCATTTAATATTTTTTTAAAAAAAAAAAAAACTAAATGTTGATACAATTATTACTTTATGTGCTTTCAACAACTATGCAGTGGTATGTTTGAGATAACTTGCTCAAAGGATGTAAAAATTCAGGGTGTTCTTGGTCCATGCGCATCACTTGAAAAGGTGAATATAGTAATTTCATGAACATCAACAGGAATTACAACTTTGCTCTTCAACTGGTATGCTGATGTGGCAGAACTGTTGCTGACTAGTTCTTGTGTTTGTGTAGAAAGGACCTTTATGTGCTGACACCACAATAGGTCAAGGGGGTACTACTGCTTGGAAGATGTGTGGACTTGATAAATCGACTTCTTTATGTTTGATATTTGATATTACAAAGAAGGAGATCCCAGATGTTGCTGGTCAAGCAGTCAACAATCAGTTTTATTTCCAGTTTTTGACATAGTAAGACTTATTGCTTCATTTTTCTTGTTTGTTTGTTACACTGGAGAAAACATGAATGCCCTTCTTGTCTAGTCTTGTTAGGTGTAACAAACACAAACACAAACACAAGCCTAGTGGGTTGGAATTTGGGATTCTCTTGACTTGGTGTAGATAATTTGGTGCAGTTATCAAAATAGCAACGGACAAATGAGGCTTCGAGCTACAACCCTATCTAGAAGATGGGTCACTGGGCAAGGAAGCATACAGGTGAGCTCGTTTGGTTCATTTTCATGATTACATTTAGAACAAACATCTGTTGTTATACTGAAAATGGTGAACTGGTTTAGGATTTGACTGCGGGATTTGACCAAGAAGCAGCTGTGGTAGTAATGGCGCGCCAAGTTTCTTTCAAGATGGAAACCGAGGTAATGATGATCATGAAATAGATGGTTACGGTGATCTAGAGCGCATTATCAATACGTGATTATCGATCATTATGTAGGCGGAATTTGATCCTATAAGGTGGCTTGATAAATCACTGATACATCTCTGCTCTCACTTTGGAGACTATCAAAAAGACAACCCGTCATCATTCGTTTTATCGCCACGCTTATCGATAATTCCTCAGTTTATATTCAATTTGCGACGCTCTCAATTCGTACAGGTATATTTGAGTATTGATTCTATTTTATTGGCTTCGTTTTGGAGGTTGAGATGACTTCGATTGTGTTTTAGGTCTTCAACAACAGCCCGGATGAGACCGCGTACTTTAGGATGGTTATGAATCGAGAAGATGTTGCGAATTCAGTTGTGATGATTCAACCTTCGTTAATCACTTACGCTTTCAATTGCGGAGCAGAACCAGCTCTCTTAGACGTCGCATCCATCGCTCCTGACAGAATCCTTCTTTTAGATTCCTATTTTACTGTCGTTGTATTTCATGGATCTACGATTGCTCAATGGCGCAAAGCTGGGTATCAGAACGAGCCTGAACACGAGGTACATGCTGTTTCTTTTTCTTTAAACTTTCTAAACAATTATACCCTAGTTTTTCCCCAAAATTGGACCCTATTTTGAGAGCTCAATCATGGAACATGTTACTGGATTGCAGGCATTTGCCCAGTTGTTACGAGCTCCTATTAGTGACGCTGAGGCTATTGTAAAGGAACGATTTCCAGTACCTCGTTTAGTCATATGTGATCAGCATGGATCCCAGGTTAAATTCACTCTGTAAATACTTTGGCAAATTGATGTCATTTTTTCAAAGGGCATTATTGGAATATGTGCAGGCTCGATTTTTGCTAGCAAAACTAAATCCTTCAACTACATACCATTCAGATGCTCCTTTAGTACCTGGTGGGGATATTCTTTTCACTGATGATGTCAGCTTTGAAGTCTTTTTGGATCATCTTCAGCGATTGGCAGTTCAATAAAAAGTTCTTCAGATTTTAGAACAGTATACAACTAGATCTCCAGTTTTGTAAGATTATGCATTTAACTATATTGTGATATACTTATATCACAATTTTATCTAAATAGAAAAAGGGTTCTTAAGGTTTTTCCTTTTTCTTTTTTTTTTTTGCAATTACAGTTTATAACGATTCTCAACTGGATAGTCAAAATATAATTCAGCATCACTTGTACACAGAAGGATAAAATGGTTATTTTCTCATATTCAAAGTGTTCATCTCATCTAAAAAACAAAAGAAGCGGTCCTTGCTTATAGCACTTAGACAAACAAACATAATTAATCCATTCTACATTTAATACAAAAAGAATGACTTAATAGAAAAAGTTACACTGAGGCGGCTTTCCCATCAAGTCTTTTTTGCTTTTTCTACAATTTTGTTCCCATTTAATTATCACTTCAATTTTTTCTCAAATATTTGTTTATATCATTTATGTAGACAACATTAGCGAAGGGAAAAGAAAAAAAAACATGCCCACAGATTTGCTTCAGTTTCACTACTTTAACTTCAAAATCAGCAAGATTTTGGAAACAACGATCAAACACACATAATTTATTTGTAACATAGTACAAGATTTACATTACATGAGAACCTTCTTTTATTGATTTTCTTGAATAATAAAACAATATGAAAAATATATATGTATTCTTGTATGGCAAATACAGGTGATTTAGTTGCAGCTATGCAAGGATTTTGCTCACCAAGTAACAGTAGATCATGTGGCATTCTCAGTTGCCATTTTATTCTGTATATTAGTTATAGCACAACATGTAAGTTGTGTTCTACTTTTTTTTTTTTTTATTGCAGTTGGATTTATATTCATGTTGTCTCTTCTTTTATTTCTGTCATGTCTATTGCCTTCTTAGCCAGATGATTTTTGTAGCAGCTCATGAATTTTGCTATGAATTCTGAAATAACACACAAACTTACATGTTAATGAAAACGTACAAGAGCAGAAAAGCACAAATGCAACAAATAAAACGTACTTTCATTTGTTTTAGTTAATTTTTATTATTTTTTTATAAATAATCAAGAATGTGGGTAAATAACTAAGGAAGTCGATCAAAGTTATACCTTCGATACTCATGAATTGATGGATAAGCTTTTTCCTTTCATCATTTGCATGTCTATGTTTATCAGCTCCCTGAATACAACAATAAAATGCTTAGTACTTATTTATCCTATGTTCCCTTTCAATTTCAGTTAAAAAAATATGAGTTTAGAGTTCTTACGCTATATTCCTTATATGTCTTATCGATCTGCTTATGCATCGACTCCTCAACATTCTTCTTCAGTTCAACTGCTAGAGTCTGCAAAATAGAGAGTATTATAAATGTTGAAAATTCATGCATATTTATGGGTTTTATCATTTCTTAATACAAAGATGAACTCACGTGACATAATATGATCCATAGTCACATAGTTCGTGGTACGGTCCGGTACGGGAACAAGGAACGGGAACGGGATTCATGAGGTTAGGCGTATCGGGTACGAGGGGGGTAGGTTCATTTCGGTATGTGTCCGGTACGGCGTACCATACGGTGTACCTGTTTTTAGAACACATATTTAGCAACATATTTCATTTAGAAGTACAATCACAGCAACATGTTTCATTTAGAAATACAATTCCAGCAATATATTTCATTTAGAAACAGAATTTCAGCAATGTATTTTAATAAACTCAATTCCAGCAACACTTTTCATGATTCCATAATTCAAAATACCAAAATACACATTGTAAAGATTACATGCTGGAAATTAAAACAAATTACATGCTGGAAATAAAAAGTTCAAAACAGCAACAGTTTTGTAATAACTCAAAAACACAAACATGAAGGGTAAAGCAACAAAAACTGAAATGTAACATGTCAATCAACCCGCTGCTTTTTTCCTTGTCCATTCTCCAAATCCTCTTCATCTAAGCACTCCCAAACCATGTCATCTAATCGTGAACTCGAGCCTTCAATGTAAGTGCTTTCGGGATTGATGTCCCACTTTTTGTTTGGGCCGGATTTGTATGATTCGTGGAAACGAGATATGAGTCGAATGTTTGAGTGAATGTAAACCAATTTATTGGCTCTTTTTTATTCAACCGGTTTCTTTTCACATTATGAATATAAGAATAAGTACTCCAATTCCTTTCCGCGGAAGAGCTACTAATAGGTTGTGAAAGTACCTTCTTTGCCAACAAGGCTAAATCCGGGGTTTCGGCTCCATAGGTTGACCACCAATCTATTGGATCCATTGTCAAAGCATCCGTTTGTGTTTCTGCCATAGAGTAGATACCTTTCTTCATATGAAATGTTACGAATTGCTCTCGTAACAATCGTCCCTCCTCTTCATTTTCAGAAAATCTATTGAAGGATTCCATGACACCTTGCATAACCTCTTTGTCAAGATTTGGTGGTTTCCTTTGCATACCACCGGGTGCCATTTTTTGAAGATATCGCCTATCATAAAAGCGTGGGTTTAATGCAAACCCCAAACAATGTAGTGGGATACTCATCTTCTCCCACCTAGTTAAAATTATCTTCTCCACTTGTTCATAATAGCTAACATAAGTACTTTCCTGCATTATGTCTTTGATTTCCCCCATCATGTTATCCATCCTCTCATAAATCTCACCCATTTTAGGGCCTTCACCATCACAAAACTTTATAAGAAGAAAGATGGGTTTAGTGATAGCCAAAATGCTTTCAACATCATCCCAAAACGAATCATCTTTAATTGTATCACATACTTTTGCCCCACTAATTCTTGTATTTTCATCCCCACATTTAACCCAATCTCTCCAAGAATTAAGGACTATAGTCGTGGCAAGAGCCTCCCTACACTCCGTAATTCTTTTTAAAAGAATATAGTGTGAAGCAAACCGAGTTGTAGCCACCTTTAGTAAATCTAGTTTTGAATTTTCACGAAACATCGACAAGGCATGAGTGTGGTTAATAAAGTATTTCACAATTGCTTTTCCTCTCTTATAGGTATCACTCATCCAATAAAATTCTTGTGCCATATCTTTAAAAATCAAGTTTAAACTATGAACACAACAAGGTGACCAAAAGATATGTTTGAATACCTTTTCGATCTCGCGTCCGGCAGCTTTGCAATTAGCCGCGTTGTCCGTCACCACTTGTAAGACATTACTTGGACCAATAGCTTCAATTGCTCCTCTTAGAAACTTGGAAATCGCCACTCCCATTTTCTCAACCCCCGAATAATCTTCCGCATACATAAACACCGCACCACGAGCATTGACGGCAACAACATTGAGAAGTGGCTTGTGTTTGACATTAGATCATCCATCCGAAATAATTGAAACACCTTGAGTGTACCAAGTGTCTTTTACCAGTATTAGTTCTTTATCAATATCTCTCACACACTCATCTAGCAAGACGGTTCTTGCTTTTTCACTAGATGGAGGTTTATATCCATCCGGTGACTTCTTGATGGCTTGTATCATCTCAATGAATTGAGGATTCCGCAAGACATTGAATGGGATACCATTAGCACACAAGCCTCTCATGATTTTGATGTCCACTATATTCCGCTCCATGACACCAAAAGCTTCCTCAAGTCGTCTTTTTGATGCTGAATTTTTTGAAATGATTGAATTTTTTAAAGTTCTTGATACACCTCCGCTCTCGGCTTCTTTCACCTTGTTCGAAATTCGTTGTAGCTTGGACGGATCTTTAATCATAGCTGGACATCTTCTAAATTCTGCTGTCTTCCCAATTTGAGCACCAAAGAAATGTGTATGAATCCTAGTGTATGAACTTGTATATTTCACTTTGCAATGGTTACAAATCCATTGCTTTGATCCTCCAGCATTCTTACTAGTACCCGAACCAACCATAGTCACTTCTTCTAAAAGAGGTTTGCTAGCTTCTTTATCACTTTTTCTGCTTCCTGATGATGCGCCTACTGTCTCACCAATGTCAACAAAATTTTCCTGTTGTTCTGTTTCACTATCTGATACATGAATACTAGCATTGCCATTGCCAAAAGCCATTCTAATAACTAATAGAATAACAGTAGAAGAGAAGAGAAGAAAAGTAGAAATTTGGCAAGTGTATTAATGGAAGTCGATGAATCAAATCAATTTAATGTTACAGTGGAACATCTAATTGAAGAAGATGAAGTTTATTGTAAGAGGGGCCTGATTTAATAAGCAAACATGGTACCTGGTATCGAGGAATCAAAGCAATCACCGAAGCGTTTTTTTCCTGAGTCGATACTTTTTGGAATCGTCATCACAGTTCCCGCTCAATCCCCCAATCGCCCAATCGCCGACCCAATCGACCTAATTGCCGACCCAATCGACCAAATCGCCGACCCAATCGACGAATTTTTGCAATCCAATTTGTCAGAAATGAGTCCCCAGCATTGTACCAATTGATTGTTCGGATCGTCAGTGAGCCATACCTGAGACCGTTTCGCATGGCGTTTGGATCGACACTGTACCCCGTTTGGGTACGAAACGTTCAAAACGTGGTACGTGACCACTTGCGCGACTCCTGTGACTATGATATGATCTAAGAGATTTTGAAGTTTTTGGCGAATGTCATATAATTGATTCAACTTGTTAATCAGGACAATAACAGAACAGAAAAAGTATTGTGTATAGTTCCATTCAGTCATTCCCGTGTGACAAGAACAACCTTTAAGTCTGGATTAGAGTCCATTGATTTTTATTTTTATTTGGTGCTGACTGGGTCCGGTCAGACGTTTTTGTCTGACTCGGTCCGGTCAGAATGTTTGATTTGCTTTGAAATGACTACACATGGTTTCATTACGATTTCTAAGGGAATCCTTGATTCCATTCCTTCCAGTGGGATCTGATTCTACTTGGGGATTCCATTTGTTTTGGCTAGGCATGCCAACTTCGATAAACAGAATGCTGAATACATAAGAGAAAAAGAAAAGATGACAAGTGAGATGTGCAATTTAAATGATTAAGAACTTTATAAAAGCAACATCTTGGGTAAAGACGGCGGTGTGATTATATGTATGTGTGTGTTGAATGTAAATTTTATTATTGTATGTTGGGTGGAATATGTATTTGCCTTTGGTTTCTTATTGCAGAA